GGGCCTGGGCACCCGCAGGTCCTGGAGCGGCTCTGACCAGCCGAGTGCCCGGTGTGCGCCGCGCTTGCCGCGCAGGGCACCCGCTGTGCGCAGGGCGCTGGAGCTGTGGAGAAGCTCGGCATCTAGAGACTGGTTCGTGTGTGAAGTCCGAGCCTGGTGACCAGAGAAGCAGGGCCAGCGCCTGGCTCGCTGGGGCAGCAGGCGGGCAGGGCCCCAGGCGGTGGGTGCGGGAAAGCAAGGGGGGGCATCTGGGCAGTGGTTTCAGACTGAGAATGGGAAGCAGAGGCCAGGGGTGGAGGCCCTGGGGGGCCAGCTGGACGGCAGGAGCTGCCTTGGGAGTTGGACCTCAGGTGCCCACTCCGGCAGGCGGGCAGGCGGGCAAGCCGGGTGAGGCACGGCTCGGCCTGGACAAGCGGAGGGAGGAGGGGAGCCGGGCGGGGTCAGTGGGGCCTGCCTGTGGCGGTGAGGGCCTGGCGGGGCGGAGGAGTGGCGCGCAGGGCCCTTGCTGCCGGGGCCGGCGTGAGCGGACAAGGCATGGCGGCCTCAGGCTTGTGGACGCCTCGGCGGGCCGGAGGGGTCGTCCAGCAGAAGTGGACCGTGGGAGGATGGAGGCGCGGGGGCTGGACGCCAGCACAGCCGGCGGGTGTCACCGCTGGGTGAGCCGGGCGCCTCCCTCTGTGGCGGGGTCTCCGCCCTGTCCGATCCTGGAAGCCCCCAGTGAAGAGCCGCCCGCTCGTCCCCTTGGGAAGTAGCAGCGGCATCGAGTCAGATTCGGGTCCCCTGGCGAGCCGTGCCCACTGCGCCTGTTTCTGGGCTACTGTGCTGGTCACGCTCTGCCTTTGCAAAAATCGGGTCCTTCATTCTCAGCGGACGGGCTGAGAATTGATTTTCACTCAAGAAAGAAGAGTCGCACGGACAGACGCCCGTCTGCAGCGGCCGACGCTGTGAGCAGAGGCCCGGCGGCGAGGGGGTCTGGGCGCCGCTCTAAGCGGGGCGCAGACGGGAGAGGCGGGG